CATGGGCCCCACAACGGTTCATTTCCATTGAGGGAACTGCCTCTGTAAGGGGAAGGGATGGAGGACCAGTAGAGAACAAAGAGTCATCAAAGATGTTTGAATTAACCCTCCCTCCAAGCTCCCTCTTCATAGGCCCACAGAACTGTTCATTGCCATTGAGGGAACTGCCTCGTTGGAAGGCAACCTCTTTGAAGATCATGAAACATGCCAAAACAGTTGTTCTCGGGATTTCAACGCCGCGTATCACCCTGACTGCTGCGTCTTGACGATCCAGAACCGTGCCAGAACGCCAATTATGGGACTTCAGCACCGCGAGCCAACATAACTGTTGCACCCGCACAATCCTGAATCCTTCCAAAACAACAGTTCTGGAACGTTGCGTATGGGAACCCGTGAATGTCTTGCAACTGTTGGAACCGAATGTGCGCGGCGCTAAGGCGAACACCAAATTTTGAATATCTCCCGTCCGCAATCCGTGAAACGCTTGCAATGTGTTAAAACAAATGTGCGCGGCGCTGAGGCGAGAGCCACATTAAAAAAACAGCCCGCCCTCAATCCTTGAAACTCTTGCAAGTGTTGGAAACGAATGTGCGCCGCGCGAAGGCGAGAGCCACAATTTGAAAACCAACCGCCCTCAACCCGTGAAACTCTGCAAAATTTGAAAAAGAATGTACGCGGCACAATTTGAAAAGGAACCGCCCTCAATCCGTGAAACTCTTGCAAATGTTGAAAACCAAGGTGCGCGGCGCTAAGGCGAGAGCCACATGTTGAAAACGACCCGCTATCAATTCGAGAAGCTCTCGCAAATGTTGAAATCGAATGTACGCGGCGCTCACGCGAGAGCCACATTCGCCCTCAATATGTGAAACTGCTGTCACTTCTTAAACTTCAGTGGTGAGGAAGTCTCAGGCGAAACGCCCAGCCCGCCCTAGAAACTGGCCGCGGGGTGCGACAGGGAGGAGTTCTCTATAAGGGGAAGGGATGGAGGAACAGCATAAAACAAAGAGTCATCAACGATGTTTGAATTAACCCTCCCTCCAAGCTCCCTCTTCATAGGCCCCCATAACTGTTCATTTCCATTGAGGGAACTGCCTCGTTGGAAGACAACCGTGTGAAGATCCTGAAGCATGCCAAAAAAATGTTCTCGGGATTTCAACGCCGCGTATCAGCATGTCTGCTGCGTCTTGACGATCCAGAAGCGTGCCAGAGCGCCAGTTGTGGGACTTCAGCACCGCGATTCAACATAACTGTTGCACCCGCACAATCCTGAATGCTTCCGAAACAACATTTCTGGTACGTTGATTATGGGAATCCGTGCATGCCTTGCAACTGTTGAAACCAAATGTGCGCGGCGCTAAAGCGAGAGCCACATTTTGAAAACCGCCCGCCCGCAATCCGTGAAACGTTTGCAAAGTGTGAAAACGGATGTGCGCGGCGCTACGACGAGAGCCACATTTTGAAAACAACCCGACGTCCATATGGGAAACTGCTGTCACCTTTTAAACTTCAGAGAGAATCGTATGGTGAGGCAGTGTCAGGCGAAACGCCCGGCCCGCCCTAAAAACTGGCCTCGGGGTGCGACAGGGAGGAGTTATCTATAAGGAGATGGAATGGATGAGGAGGAGGAGGAGGAGGAGCAGGAGGACGAGGACGAGGAGGAAGACGAGGAGGAGGGGGAGGAGGAGAAGGAGGAGGGGGAGGAGGAGGGGGAGGAAGAGGAGGACGGGGAGGCAGAGGAGGGGAAGGAGGAGGAGGAGGAGATACCAGCCATCGTGCTACCATCAGGTTCTCTGGCCCTTTTCGGGCCCTGGCCACGAAGATGCTCCTCGACCTAGATTTGCAGAAGCGGCCCGGCAACCAGAGAACCTCCTGAGCCCGAAGAGGTCCCTACTTCAACGTCGCAAGTCCAGAAGAAGGAAACGTCAGAGAGTGGAGTAGGTAGAACTGTAGACGTAGAAGAGAGAGAGAGAGAGGGAGAAAGAAAGAGAGTGTGTAGAAACGTAAAAAGGAAGAAGTAGTTGAATCGGACGCACGCGAACATGGATTACGCGAGCATGCAACCAATGCCGCCAGATTTGGCGAAAGGATCACGTCGATGTTGTATCGAAACGGGGCCAGCGGCTAATCCACGCGACTAATCCATGATTGCACAAGAGGTGGGTCGACACAAAAAACGAAGAGTGGGCAATCACATGTGAACCTTATCCCAGCTGGTAAGATTCCGGAAAATCGGCAGGGGCTCAGGATTTGAACGATACCTGCAGCCAAGTGAAACCCCGCAGGGATGATTGATACCCCAGCAGACAGCGTCAATTGGACCTGTAGGGATAGGGTTCGCAAGTAGTCGTAAATATGAAGGTGTTGAACATACATTGGATGATCACCCGCCCCCAGAAAAGGAAGCAAGACGGACAACCATTCGACCACTGGAGTAGGAGGGCGGCTAAAATAGACTGATTAGGAAACTGGGGATCGACTAACACTTGATGTACTGTCAGAG